GAGAGGGGGCCGGAGGTGGGGGCTAGGATCTGCTTATCTTTTCGAGGCTTGTGCTCCTAATCAGAACAAAACACACAATGGGAAAGTTTCAATTAAGGCTCCAAAGTTTTCCTGTTCTGATCCCTGCCTCCTCAGCAGATAAGGTAGCTGGAAGTGTCCCTACTGAAGTTCTCCCCATTGTTTGTCCCCGTGGGTTGATTTTATTCAACTGAGGCAGAGTAATGTGTCAGTGCTAGTGAGGGTCCATTAAGGAGCTTGCTTACTTCACATAAGGTATTTTGCAGTTCTGAGAATCCCCTGGCAGTTCTCCAGTTTTAAATGAGCAGAATGAGAAGTCTGAGGGTCAAAGGAGCCCTTGGGGATACTTTTAAGGGACAGAGGAAAAGGAGCCTGAGAAGGAATGAGCAGGAGAGGAGAACCAGAAATACAGTGTCAAAGCAAAGGGAGGGAAGGGCTTAAAGGAGGGACGGGCTGACAGTGCAAATGCTGGGAAGGGTTTAGGTAAGGATAGGTTGAGGAGCGTCAGGGGTTCTCTGTCGGGACGAGGATTGCTGGATAAAAAGGAAAGGCAGAAGTCAATATTGGAAAGGTAAATGTTGACCTGTTGTGGGTGTTAGCCCTACAGCACATGGGAGACCTGGACTCTTGTACCTCGTAAGTAGAAGGAGGGCACTGTGATAATACCTTTGCGGAGCTAAAATCAGAAACTTGTGCCATCTGCTTTGGATAGAAAGGATAAATCTGGATCAATCTCAGGAGATTGTACTCCAAGAAGTAAGGTTAGAAGACAAATTAAATTTCCATGGAAGTTGTACCCCACCTCAGGAAGTGAAGTAAAAAAGTGCAGTTGAAAAGACGCTTGGATAACTGGAAAGGAAAACTCTTTATGCTACAGAATGAAACAAACAATATTATTCTCCTCACCTGGAATAGCCACCATTTCTACATCTACAAATTTAAATCTTACCCATCCTTGAAGAGCCATCTTTTTTAAGATTCTATCCCTGACAATATCAGTTCCCACCCATTTTCCTGCTTTTGACTACTCCAGTTAGAGATGAAGTCCTCAAATAGTGGTGTGTAACCACCTGGGTATGCCAACAAATGTTGCCCAAAAAGTGAAGTTTATTGGGTCTACAACAGATCACACATACTGTCTCAGGGACATCCGTCAGAACATTGAGCTGACTGAACAGGGAGATCTTGCAGGGCAAAGAAGGGCTCAAATTGTAGCATGTGGGGGTATAAATTCAACCTGGCACTAAAGGAAGTTCCCCTATTTCCCGGAGTACGAGAGATCTTTGCCTAGTGAAGATATAAGAGAGTATGGTCACGACAGCCCACAATTCTGGTCAAATAACAGTAAGTTAAAAGGCAGCCCTGTCAGAAGGCCACCTACAGAGGCCTTTGTGGACGTCACACACACTGTTACCCAATAGTGGAGTCTGCTTTGTGATTACTGCTATCTTGTTTTAGTGTAATTTTGAGTATTTTAATGTAAATATGACGCCAAAAGGCCTAATACTTAAGACCATGTAGTGATCAGAAGGAAGCAGAGAACTTCCTATGACTAGCATCTCTGTGATACGTAATGCAGCACTATGTTGCTTCTAATCGCTCTCTGTGGCTTTGTGCTCCGATTGGAGCCAAGGACCTGATTTATATTGTCTTTGGTATCTCAGTGCCCAGAATTCAGTAAATATTTGCAGGTTGTTTACGTAAGCTGCTTTTGGCTATTTTGCTCAGTCGGTTTAAGTTCAAAGCGATCGAGTGAAAGGTGGACATTTACTCCCAGGCTCCCTGCACCTGTTATCTTACCACCCTTATATGCAGCTCAACCCTTCCTATTACATCAGTTACCTGGCAAAGTCATTACCTTTGGTCAGAAGACTAAATAAAAAGATCCATCTAAATTTCTAAGAACCTACTACCAACACCAGAAACATTGCCTAATCCAATAGCTTCATGTCTACACAAGAACAAATATGTCCAAGAAAACCTTGTTAAACCATGTGTTAAAAATAACTAAACAAATTCTTAGTTTTGAAGAACAACCAGAAAAATATACTTATTGTATATTCTAGGACATATATTCTATATGTTTAACTTCAGACATAGAAAATGCTCATCTATGAAAGCCAAGTTCCAGAGTAAATCTCTAAATTATTGTGTAAATTAAATTTAACAAAAGCTTACCATCTTTACAGGGTAAGCTCTACGAAGCTATAAACCTTTGTGCAGTTATAGCCTCTGTTACAAGCTGCTCTTTACCAATGGTTACCATTCGGTATTCAATTAGATTTTTTTGTTGTTTTTCGCTATCGATTAAATACTCATGATATGCTAACCACTTCATATACATGATCTCATTTAATAATCTAAACAATCCTATAAGGTGATCAGTTATCGAGTCCCAGAATCAAGATTCAAATCCAGGCCTTGCTTGCTCCAAAGCTTTGCGTTTAACCCTTTCTACTGACTGCTTCAACTCATACAACAAAGTACATAGCAACTTACTTCACTTAGTCATTAGAGGAAATAGGCTGAGTCCATCTTTTAGCAAGACCAAAAGGTTTGTCTTACAAAACCACTTTCCAGGGTGATATATCATGAGGGTCCTCATGATGAAACAATGAGTCAGTTTATCTCCAGCACATCAAGGCCATCAAAGGTCTCAGTGCCTTATTTGCTGTTCAATACTGAGTCACAAAGGGTCTCCCAGGCATCCCACACTGCCCCACATGAGTAACATCCCAACTTTGTCCAGTATTTTCTGACACTGGTTGCAAGGAGATTCACACAGCACACTACTAAACAAGATTCAGTCACACCAAACAATGCCAGAGGCATTGCCTGATTCACGACACACTTTTCAGCATATAGGTGAGGTGGGGAGTGGAAGGGTGCAGGGAGTGATTTAATTCGGAAGTGCTGTGGGGAATACCATAGGCTGTTTTTACCAATCTGCTTGTCAGTTTCCACTGCCCTCAGTGAAAGGGTCTGAGAGCCAGGGTCATAGCTAAATGGCCTTTTCAATGCGCCTGCCACAGGGACTGTGATAACCTAGGGACTCCTTATAACACTGGTTTTGGAAACTGCAGCAGATAAGCAATTTACCTTTCCATTTCATGCCCAAAAGCCTATGGAAAAAGGAAGTAACATGATAAGCAGACTCAGTAATGGATTCTCAGATTCTTAGCTGCTGTAGATGAGCCATATCATCCCTCCCCATTGGTACAGAAAATCAGGAATTAAACTGAGATCTTTTTGTCAGCTTCAATTGTTGACTTG